TATATTCACTTTAAACGTACGTGTAAAGTTCTGCCAAATCATCTGAAGGTAACGTGCAAACCCAATTTTTAGCGTTATAAGCCTCCAGACTTACCGCTGAGCCACCGATGGACCCACTCAAAAAATAATCACCAGCTATATCCTTCCAAACAATAGTGGACAAGTCCCGAGTGGTTGTGTTTAATCTCTTGATGTTACAGGGTCTTGTTCTGGCGCTTTGGTAGCTTGTTAACAAGTTTCTTACTAGGTATAGCTAAGGATAAAGGGTTAACCCTTTGGTTAAGTTGATAGAGGGTGAAACTGGTCCCAGGTTCATACCCTTCTCGGGGAAGATCCAATAAAAAGTTACTACAGAAAGACATGGTAATATGCTGTGTCTGAGATAAGGCTTGAGGTCGGGTTTTATTTGTAAAAAGGGGGAAGAATGTGGTAGTTTGAGTTATTAAAGAGTACCTCACTAGTAACAGCTAGAGGCGAAACGTTCTCCAAGATATAGTGATGGAAAAGTTTAAATGATGTCTACTTCGAAGTTATTTAAACCTTTTCACTGAATTTTGAAGTTAAATATTGGAAATAGCAACAAAATCAAATATATTTTTTCAATCTCTTCAAGGTTTGTTTGTTTATTGAATTTTACACAAAGCTACTGGAAGGTCATCTATTTTTCGGAGGTTCTCAAACTGGAAAAAAAGCAAAAATTTTCTGTTTTCTGAATACAACAAGAAAAAAGACGCAAGTACGTAATTAAAAATGTTCCTATCACCACTACACACACAAACGTACTTGCACGACGTTTACTTAGAGCGAGTACTTCCAGTACTAATTTATACAACCGAAATTTATTTTCTTTTTCTAAAAAGTGGTTAACACCACCTATAGGATCGATGCTCAGCTACTAAGTATGATTCCTGAGAATTAGTAAAACTAATTTATACAACCGAAATTTATTCTCTTTTTCTAAAAAGTGGTTAACACCACCTATAGGATCGATGCTCAACTACCGAGTATGATTCCAGAGAACTAGTGAAACTAACTAATTTATACAGCCGAAATGTATTTTCGTTTTTTTTTTAAAGTGGTTAACACCACCTATAGGATCGATGCTCAACTACTGAGTACAATTCCGGAGAATTAGTAAAACTAATTTATACAGCCGAAATGTATTTTCGTTTTTTTAAAGTGGTTAACACCACCTATAGGATCGATGCTCAACTACTGAGTATGATTCCAGAGAATTAGTAAAACTAATTTATACAGCCGAAACGTATTTTCGTTTTTTTTAAAGTGGTTAACACCACCTATAGGATCGATGCTCAACTACTGAGTATGATTCCAGAGAGTTAGTAAAACTAATTTATACAGACGAAAACCTAAAAAAAAACATTTAAAATTAATCTAAATTTTAAAATGGACGCAATAATGTTTTATTCTGAAAAGCTTTAATCCATAAAACATATTAATGTAAGTTTCTTCTACCTATTATATATAATGTTGTGTTTCATCAGTTTATAATGCCGAATATATAAATAATAATAAAAATATTTATAAAGTACAGAATTACATGTTCAGTTCTTTCTAGCATGGTTACAATCGATGAGATCCAAATGTAAAAACACTTTTTGTGATTTACGTTTATTCACGATATCACTACGAACAGTTTTCGTACAAAAATTACTTTATTTAAATATAAAACGACACTGAAATTCCTTTTTTTTTCAAGTAAAATATTATCTATTTCTTAATTCGCCCTTTTTTCTTTGAGCGCAAAGCTGTAAGTAAAGGGAGGTATTAGAAACAGGAGTGCCATTTCAGATTTTCGCTTGGGGGTGGTGGGGGTGGATTTTATTGGAAGTTCAGAGAGTAAAGCCATTTGATGGTATTGTATTATTTTTAAAGTTTATTTTGGGAACGTTTACTCTACTATTTTCTGTATTAACCATTCAAACTGTATTCGGAGAAATTAAGACTTTTGAACCAAAAGTCTAAACAGTCAGGATGAAAATTCACTCAGAAACAGTAAAATACCCCTTTATTCACCGATTTTTAAAACCATACGACTGTCCTAACTTTTGTAGTGTATAAAGTGGGACATTTAGTGCTTAAATTCTACCAGAGATGTGGTAAAGACTGGGTGGGTGAGACCAAGATATCTTTTTTTTATGGAAAGAAACTTACAATCTAAATAACATCTTAGAACAATAACGAGAGCTACAACAATAACAATAAATTTACGTTTTGTCGAAACGTTGTACATTTGCTGTTATGTTAAACTTATATTAAAGTTTTTCTTCATTAACCATTCAAGCCGTCTCCAGCCATTATTAGTCTCAAAGTGGGTTCCTCGTCATCTAAAATGATGAAACTTTATTGAATAGATGAACTAAATATCATGTCAAGATTATAACAGATATATAACACATACACATCTGTTTCAAGTTGTTTTTTTTTATTAATAGAGTTCTCTCCAAACTGCTATTGTTAGAGAACACAAAGCCATTCACCGATCAACAGGGTTTGAATCAAAACAGTATTTGCCCAAGAGTTCTCCTACTACAAAACAGTAAAGCTTTAAATACAAAGAAATCTGAAGGCTTGTATATACTAACAAAATAAATAACAGTTTTAAAAATATATTTCTACTTTAAAAGATACATGTAAAAAAACTTTTCCAAACATCTATAAGCATAATCTATGTGGTTAACACTACCAATTAACCATAGACTAACAAAAAGCAAAGTTCAACAGTGGTGAAAGCCATAGGTTTCTTCAGAAAACAGTGCATTTAATATATATACATTTAAGAACACTAACGAGTCTTCTTAAGGAACATATTGTTTATTATATATTTTCTTTTAGTTTTTTTTTACCAATTCCTTAACAAAAAAAACAGCACCACTTCAGATCTAATAAACTTTACGAATCGGAGAAATTAGAAACTCCAGTTCAAGAATCCAGGTTAATATCAATCTTGAGATGTCCAGGATGTTTAGTTTCCTATTTTGTTAGGATTACTACTTTCCTCTGTCATATTATTCACTCGATACCACAATTATTCAACACTTGTTCTGTTACTTATATCGTAAATGGACTGCATTTACCCACTAAATCAGTGGAAGATAAAACTTACACACAACAAGTTGAATGATAACAAAATATTACTTTTACGACGTACGGTTTTTTTCAAACCTTTACCGTACAGGGAGAGGACACGTATAATAGTTAACAATAGATTTTTAGGGCATTTTAAAGATGCGAGTCTAAAAGAGTGTAAACACTGCGTGTCATTTACTCAAACGTTGATATGGAAATGGTAGATATCAACTCCGTGGGAAAAGTTATATTATTCTCTGCTGTAACATGTTGCCAATAAAAATGTAGAGAATAGAACAATAAAAAACATAACATTATACCGAACCACGTGTTTCAGGCCGACACTTTTCATTTCATGAGATTCACTTTGTACGACAGAACTGTTTTGTTGCTCCCTAACCATAAAGTTTCTCAAAGCAACCATGACAATATGGTTTGTCGTTCTGTTCCTTGAAAGTTCCCTTACTTAACTGCTTTAGGCAAAAGGAACACACGAAATGTTCAGGATGAAATTTCCGATACATGGCCGTGATGCAGCGGCCAGAGATGGGTTTGTGGCAGCCGGCACAGAGTGAGCCTCGCTTAGCATGATAATGGATTTCACAATACGGTTGTCCTTCGTGATCATAGAAACTGCCTCCATTGAAGGGCTGCCTGCAGTCCTAAGAACAGTAACAAAAATATTTGTAGAGCTGTTGATATTTCCAACTTGTCATTCAACAATTGATAATAAGAGTTATTTTGTTAGATGATAGTCATTAACAATTTACTAATCTTTTTCAAGAAACTATTCATTGTTATATACCATCAACAATAACATCCAATGGTTGATAACTGGGTCATATTGTTATATAACAATAACAATCAATGGTTGATAACTGGGTCACATTGGTATATACCATCAACAATAACAACCATTGGTTGATAACTGGGTCACATTGATATATACCATCAACAATAACAACCAATGGTTGATAACTGGGTCACATTGGTATATACCATCAACAATAACAACCATTGGTTGATAACTGGGTCACATTGATATATACCATCAACAATAACAACCAATGATTGATAACACTTTCTACCAGTACCATGTACATGTTAACTTACACACTTTCTACCAGTACCATGTACATGTTAAGTTACACACTTTCTACCAGTACCATGTACATGTTAACTTACACACTTTCTACCAGTACCATGTACATGTTAACTTACACACTTTCTA